ATTTACGAAAGTTTTCGTGTTTAATTTTCGGTATTTTGTATTTGACGTTCATGGACTATTATGTTTTATAATTTAAAATTTTGTTTTTAATTTAAAAAGTTTACGTTTCTAAACCTAGTTATATCAAACGTAAAATTACGAAATAAAAACGTAAATTAGTCTTATTTAACAATTGGCTAAAAGGGATTATCCTCTTATAAAGTAAATTTAACATTAATTAGTTATGTCATAGGTATAAGACAACATCAATTATTTGTCACGTGTGGGTAATGAGCATGTTTGTTATGTAACTTTGTTTAACACTCAAAGCACTAAACAAACTCGAACAACAAACACAAAGGTTCAAGTTTAATTGCGGTTTCAAATTTGCTAACATATTAATTCGCATTATGAAACACATATATTGGTTGTAAAATGTAACTAAAATCAGACATAATATAACAAGCGAATTTTTTTTTCAGCGTTTATCATAAACAAAATATAAATAATGAAAAAATATTTACATCCATCAATATTTCACTGAAAAAAAATTAACAGTTACATCCAAAAATATTCCACTTAAAGGAATATGTAAGCAAACATTTTTTTTATGTGAAAAGTTGCCAAGCGAGCCAATGGTTCACCTGATGGTAAGTGAATACCGCCGCCCATGGACATCTGCTACACCCGAGGGTTACAGATGCGTTGACAACCCTTTGAAAATTGGGCTCCGGCTACCTCACTCACCAGACGAAACGCGAAAGTATTTGTCATGGAAGTATGACTTTACGCTGGTCTTCTGTATGGTCGTGGTACTTACCCGGACGGGCCTGCCCATTCGTGCAACGGCTGCTGCGTGGCCCGCCACCTTTCAACTGTGCAATATTTAACGGCATACCACGGAAGCATAGGGAAACAGATTCATTTAAACTCTGCCTAAAGTCAAAGTCAAGTCTGTACAGCCACTCTTATAAAAGCATTTAAGATAAATTCTTTCTTCTTTTAAAGAAGTAAATGACTAAAACCTATAAATATTAAACGTCGCACTGCTGGGCAAAGCTCCATAATACAGAATAACAGATTTCTGTCAAACTCACCCCTGGTTCCTGAAACACTGATCATGGTGGAAATTAATTAGTCAGCTGTCAATGATCAGTGTTTCAGAAATCGGGCGTAAGACTTGAAATATACAGTTTTCCCCACGATGTTTGTTCTTTACCACTCAGCAATTCTAGCTACAGTTAACAATTGCATTGATGCCAGCACCGAGTTTGAACTCGAGTGTCTCGAGTATATTGAATTAAAAGCGAAGGTGTAATCATTGAGCGGACGTCATTCTTGTTGTTAAAACTAAAATAAAAATTGTGAATAAATTTAAAAACCTACATCACTACATAGTATAAAAAAAAGTCGTCCTGCTGTCTGTCTGTCCCTATATATGCTTAGATCTTTAAAACTACGCAACAGATTTTGATGCGGTTTTCTTCAATAGGTAGAGTGATTCAAGAGGAAGGTTTATATTATGTATAATTCATGCATAACAAAGTAGAGAAACACTGATAATTAGAGGTTTCAGAGGTTTCAGAAGTTTTCAGCATTGTACCTGTACGAAGCCGGGGCGGGTCGTTAGTTTTAAATAAAAATAGTATTACACGTGTATTGAAAATTTCTTATATTATGGGAATGGCATACATATCACACATGAAAATATTACAAGATTAACAAGTGACACATTAACAAGTGTGCACAGAATATCATGAAATAAATTTAAGGTACATAATATAATAATTGAACAGTAGGATATTCAACAATAACATTATAATAGGCTAATCTCTTGGCAAAAGGTTGGCTATCCACCCTAAGACTTTCCTGAAATTGTCACCTCAATTAAAAATAGGTTCGTTGAAACGATTATAAGATTTGAGGCTTTCGATCTTCTTGAAGGTTTTTTCTCTTTTGCACATGCAATACATTGTTATTTATATATTTAGGTATAACATAAAACAACGCAGATCAAGTCGCCGCGTATAAGCGGAAATGAAAAGTAATGTGCATAGGCAATGACGTTTTAATAAAGATGACGCATGTCCATACTGCGCCGCGTTTAAAAGCTGTTCCTGTTTACATTATATGACATTAATTATAAGTGAATGTGACAGATGATATCGAACCACCTGATGTTAAGTGAATACCGCCGCCCATTGACATCTGCTACACCCGAGGGTAGCAGGTGCGGTGACAACCTTTTGAACATTGGGCTCCGGCTACCTCAGTCACCAGACGAAACGCGAAAGTATTATACTTCCACTTGACGCCGGTCTTCTGTGCGGTCGTGGTACTTACCCAGACGAGTTTGTCTATTCGCACAACATATGATTCCATGATGTGGAAAGAGATCTATAGAATTGCAATCTAATTATTACACCAATTGGCGTAATTTGAGGGTCTCAATTTCGGTGCGGAAGGGTCATATCTACCTCATATTTGTATTTAATATCATTGGCTGTAGGTACGTATGTATTTGTTTCCCTCCTTCCGAAAATTTATGTCATTGTAATGACTAAAGTTTGTCATCCGTACTTCACCTTGCTTTTGATATTTACTCTGTTACGCCCGACAGGGTAACAGTGTTACCAGCACAAGGACTTATCTAATAGAAACAGGATACCAAATGTGACATTAATAAGACCCGAGATACAGTTTGTTTTGCAACATGAGACGAACCACTTAATTAAGTTTCAGAGTTTAAATTAGCATTTACTTTCATTGAAAGAACGTATGCCCGTGGTGTTTACATCATAGAATAAAGATGTAGCATTATTATTCCTTGTTAATGTAATCTACTCGAATTTCTGATGTTTTATTTTAATGAGATGTAAACTAAGCTTGCAGTTCGGTTGATGGAAATCGAGGTATGCCGTTGTCAAGTCGCCTTCGCTCACGACAGCCGAGATGTACTATCGCGACCCTGAGGTACATTCCCGGTCAATGTGACCTGTTTTTGCAATAGGTTCTGATATTTATGATGTTGCTGCACCATAGTAAGCTTTTATAAACTTCATTAAGCTTTGATTAAGAAGTAAATTATACAGTGTTGTTAATGCGTTCTTACTTTTTCAATAACTTAATGCCGTTAGCGGTGATAATCATCGTTTTGGCACTTTCTTCGAAAAACAACTTCTTTTTCTTAGGGCTAGTACTCATGCAGAGAGCAATTATCACTATAGCAAATTATGTTGTTTAAAATAACTCCAATAACATCTTCTTGCAAAATCATAGTAAAGGCTCTCATACTACTCCACTGTACAAATGTACTGACGTTACAAAGTTTGTGTCGCTTACGTGACTTCCCTACTTAGAACGGCAAACGAGATTTAATCACAGTCAACAATTTTTTTCAAATTCAATTGCCATATAAAATATAGTACACAATATCGTTGTTCCATTTCCTACGTTTGCTTCCATCAATAATGTCACAGTAGATCGCGTACAGGAATTTCTTTCATACGAGTGATTTAAATTGAATACTCTTGACTTATATTGTTGTTAGATATTTTTTGGATTATTGCAAGGAGAGTGTGCACTAGGCTTTATTTGTGCGGCTGCCGTGTCGCTGGCGGCACGCAACAGTTTTTGCTTCAGTGCATTGACTGGAACGGCTCTCGGCCGAATTCAGAGAATGGACCAATCACGTGTCGACTTCTGGAACACGCTATCGATGTTTCTCGAAGCGTTCGTATATAACGAGCGGCTTGTGCCTTTTTCACGGGGAGTCCGATGCTGCCGTGAAGACCGGCCGTGGCGAGGGGCCGGACTCTATCCTCGCTGTATTGTCACGTTCACAGACAAGTAGAGTGGCCTCTGCTTCGTGTATCCACTTGTTAATATTAATCTCTAGTAGTTTAAATTAACCGTATGTATGCGTTAAGATTAGGGACCCTCTTCTTCACCGTAACCGGTCGGCGGCATGTTTGACTTCCTTTTGGTGCTGCCAACTAGGAAACGTAAGTTACCACCGGGATAAAACTTCCAGTATTAGGTACTTAATTTTTATGAAAAATTTTGACATTTCATAAGAACGCGCAAGCGTCTATGTGAATAAATATATTTTTGATTATGATTTTTTGATTTTATATACTTTTGTTATGTCAGAAGCTACACGCGATGACAAGTTATTACCGTTGCCCATGAACACACCAACACAGATGAGGACTTGCAGATCCTTTGTCAACTGCATAATCAATTTTTACGTTAACAGAAAAACTATGCAAATAACATTTAAGATCTGTAAAGGCCCCTGAGGCCAACAGTGGCTCATCAAGTCCAAAAATAAATAAAGAAATAAATAACATTCGACAACATTCAAAAGAAATTTTCATACATTTCTATTGATATGTGCATGCATATGCAAATAGCATTCATAGTGTCGGTACCGAGCCATAGCCTTATAAAATAAAACAATTTTGACAAGAACAATTGGAAAGAAGACAGTTGTGGATTTAATCTATTAAAATCATCATCATATAACATTCTCATTCACAGAAAAACAATATGTTGTTAAATCACCGCTGAATACATTTCTTTCTAATTATTTTGACAAAAAGAAAAACATTTTTTTAAATATGTTTTCTACATTCAGAAAACTAGAAAACTTCAAGAAATGATCTGTATTTAAATATATACACGTGCACATTTTTCGCTACAATATTACGATTTAATCACATACTTATTATACTGATGTAAGTGAATGAAATGAAGTGAACTGGTTTAATTCTGTAAAAAAGCATTTTTGTTATGAACTGACGTATATGAAGAATTCCAGTAACGTCATAAAAATGAAACGCGTTCGTTACTAGAAAACATATGCGTTTGAAATATCCTAAATATTAGAGATGTACGTAAACCGATAAATAAATAAAAACGTGCAGTCGTTAACAATAGCCGCCATACCCAAGAAAATGTTTTTACGAGTGCCACACGTGTTGCATTTGATTTTAAAATTCAGTCTACTAAAAGCGGCAATGCCTCTAGAATGGCGCATATACGAAGGCAACGACCTGCAATTCGATAAGCACAGTTACTTAGTAAAACTGGAGTTCCAGAGGACGGAAACGCTAACAGTCACTATGTGCAGTGGTTCCATTATAAGTAGCTCCTGGATAATATCCTCAGCGCATTGTTTTCACGGTAGCGTCCGCACGGTACTCGTCTCATATGGTACGAAGAGGGGCTTGAGACGAATAGCAAGAGTCCACAAGAGGGACACATGGTTGCACCCGAGTTTCACACCAAAGGGCGACGCCGTGTTAAATAGGGAGAGGGACATTGCTCTACTTCGTTTAAGGCCAGCAATTGCAAGTGACGCTAACATAAAGCCGCTAAAACTGGCGGCGATATACCCTCGCGCTGGCGAGCCGGCAACCATCGCCGGGTATGGGCGGACAGAAGTTTATTCGACTCCTCCAAAACAGGGTGCTGTGGTGATAACGCAGTGCCCCTTTCCAAAAGGCACCGCGATATGTACTGAAGGCGCGGTGAGAACGGCCCCTGGAGATTCGGGTGGCCCACTGATTTATGACGACTCTTTGGTAGGCCTAACATCCGCGGGATGTACTGACGTGCAAACAAATAGAATGTGTCTTACGGTGTACACAAGTATTGCTGCGAATATAAATTGGATAAGACAAGTTACAAAGATTCCTGTAACTATTATAATTTCTGCATAAATAGTGGAATACAGTAATTGTTACTTGTGAATTGACATAACATGAAATTCCGATGTAAAGAATAGATTGAGGTTGAGCGGACTTTGAATTACGTATTTATTTTTGTAATTATGCACCTAACTAATTTTTGGTGTTCGACATTCAATGTTCTAAAGAGTTTAAAGAATTAAATCGTTAAAATAAAACTATATGCGTTATATTTCCTTTTTATCTCGAAACTTAGTAGCATTACATTCCTTTTGCAAAAATTAAGATGAAATTATTATATCACGTTTCAGGCCGTGAGAAAGATAAAGGATTACATAACAAACAATACTTATAGCAAAATTGTACATAAAATATGTAAATACTTGTTTTTTGATCATTCTGGTTGTACATTACATGTTATTGGTATATTTTTCATTTCCATGTCAATTTTACAGTACAAATATAAAATCAAAAATATAAGGATTGGGTTAAGTTATATTTAAAATTGGCTGGTAAAAACCAGTATTAATTTTAAGACTTGACGTCTCGTATGGCAGAATTCGTTTATAGTCCAGTGATTAGGGGAGTCACCTAATGTTAAGTGCTCGAGTGCAACCCGAGTCCAAAGATCAACCTGTATATTTTCTAAATAATAACAAAAACATTTCAAAGATATGTGAAGTCCGCCAATCCACAGTGCAGCCGGGTGGCGAACCATGCCCTGATACCATGTACAGAGGAGGCTTTTGCCCTGCAATATGATATGTATAGGTTGTATTTTATTAACGTCTAAGGGACTTCAGTGTAGCCAACTTTTAAGAGTTTGGCCTCTGCTAGCTCGGTTACGAAACCTAAAAATTAATACTTTGCCTTTACGCTGATCGTCTGTGAAGCCCACGCGAATGTGTGAGGTAATTCTAAACTATGAGTATTGATTTTAGCACAATGTAAGTTTCTTTCTTTCTTCTTATAAGTAATGATAAAACACAATAAATTAATTATAACACAGCCATAGCTACGATCAGATTGATGCGTGTATAAAATGCTATGGATGAATATCTAAACACCTAGTTTCTCGGATGATCATAACACCATTGTCCATAAAACAAAATTATGTTCAACGGTCCTTTTCAAAGTCGGTTCGATTGTTACAAGGTGAGTAGATAAAGTTTAATAAACAAACCGTCTAGTAGCGGTTAAGATTTATAGTCCATAACGAACGACCTAATTTCCGCGTGAGGAATTACGCGTATCTCGTATTATACTGAGGATTACGTCGGCTCACGTAATTCATACAAGCGATAGCGATCCGATTTCGAATTGTGGTTATGCTACAATTTATTTAGATATATTTATGCACATATTTATGCACATATTTATGCCATGCTTAAGTGGCTGGCTGGGCCAAGGAAGTAACATGCCCCTACAGAACCTAACTGAGGTTCACCTTTTTGCTTCCCATGTCCACGTGGTGAACTTTATATCACAGATGATCGTCACTCTCAATCATTTTATTAAATAAAAAATTAAGATATTTTGATTTTTGATTTTTTAGAACAAATAGGAGAAAATATTTATTTCGCCAACCCGATGTATATTAATAAGCCAGCCTAGATTTGTTCGTTTTGTAATGGTAACAAACCAGAACTGCGATATGTTTAGTAAAGTATGCCCTTACATCATCCGTCGAATCAAAATTGATATGCTTTTTCCATTCCTTGACATGAGTTACTTATTTTAAAGTGTTTAGTTCAAGGTGATTATCAGGTGTATTGACTGAAAAAGAGTTTACTATAGCTGTACTAATCTTAGTGTACATGTACACTAAGATCAGTACAGCTACAACAATATCGGTAATATCATAAGATTACAATGCAAATATTTTTCACGTTATTACTCAAAGGTACAAACACACAGTACGTGCACGTGAACGCGATATAATCAGTCTAAAAGTCTAAAAAACTTCCTTTTTGATGTTACAGATTAAGATTGGAAGTAAAAACTTTACTTCCACTCTTATATGATGTTTAAGACCAAGATTGGATTAAAAAATGAATGAATGATTACTTCCATTCTTAAATTTTAGCAGTTATTATTATAGGAAGTAGCTAATAGCTATTATTATTTACCTAAATATAAAAGTCGCAACAATTATTTAAAATCTACTATTTTTGTTCCTTTTAAGTTCGTTAACTTTCGTCTTTTGATGAGGTTTCGAGATAATTTGACTCAAAACGGTGTTGCAAAAGCTGCCTTGCACAGAGTTAGTCAAGATGTCCTTATTCGGATGTGGGTTAATTATTTTCGGCGCAGGCCAAACGGACAAGTTAAATTCAGGATTGAATTTTTGCCTCTGAGATTAATTTAATTTATTTTAATATTCAAAAGTCTATTCATACGATTTAGGGAGAAACATTCTGAGATGAGGCGGTTTCACATGTTTTATGTCATGATGACACTGTTAACCCGACTTAGGTTGAAGTTTGAAAATTAATGGTTTATAATTGCTAGGATTTAAATAAAATAAAAGATCCGCAATATCTTCATTTTAAGTTAAGTTGGGTACTTGTGTGGATTTAAAAATAATGTATATTCTAGAGAGTTATTGTTAATACTGTAATAAACAAATATTTACTTGTTTGTAAAATGTATGTAAAAAATGGTGAGGTAATAATTTAACATCAGGTAAAAGAAATTGTACTACCGTTTCCGTTTTTCGTAGTTTCACATAAAACAAGTTTTATGCAAAAACGAATTTGATATAGTATTAATGCTTAAACAAATCATAAATAAGCACGTAATAAGATTATACACCAGCAGTAAAGCCTATATTAGAAAATTTTTCCCATCCTCTCCCGGGTCTACACAAAACGATTTTATTCTGAAGTCTCCTATGTATAATAATAATTCATTAGTCGTCTCATTTTATAAAACATTACAAAGGTCTACTTCCCACTACAATAACAATCGACCGTCTCGTCCTAACCCTCAGAGGCTAGCTGAAGCGATGTTAATGATCATTCACAGTCACAGTAATACGTTTTCTCGGCGGTCGTTACGCTGCGAGACAGTAAGCCCGGACTAAGCGCGACTTTCATCACATAACTGTATTGCGGTTCACTTAATTTGGATATGCCGTGATTATACAACGCTCTCCTACGGTTTTCGCATTTTCTTTGTATGCCGCGAGAATATTTTGACATTCGACATTTAGACTCCAAGTGGCTAACAGTCACGCATTTCTAGAAGTGTCAGTTTCGTTTCGAAAATGTATTTTGATAAAAAACAGATTATCGTTGTCGTTGTATTGCTTAGTTCAATTGAATTAATGACTTGTGGTAAGTTGATTTTTTTTAAACTTTTAATTCTTTATAGACCATTATCATCATAATGTTAATAGACTTAAGTCATTGTGGTAAGTAAGTTTTTTTATTAGTTTTAATTCTTTTTACAGACCGTAAATCATAGGGCTAGTCATCCCTTTCCCACAGTCTTTAACCCTTCGCTATTATGTGCGCATATTTCAACGCAAAAATTGTGATCAAATACCAACCCTTGTCCGTGCAGCGATAATAGTCTTAAAAACTTGGTAATTGAATTGTCTCAATCAGCGAAATACGTTTTTTACGTATTAATATTTATACTAATATCATGTATTATCATAGCAAAATGGTTAAACAAAATTTGTTTCAAATTTACTATAGGTATTGGAATTGAATAATGTATAAACATAGCATGAGCTGGGACTATATTTTATAAAAGGATAGCTTATACACCGGAGAGGCTACTTTCTGTTGCGGAGAATTCATGGTCCCTATGAGGTTGGCATGAAGAAAATAAATCTAGATTACGCTATATTTCATATGCACAATTCCATAATGACGCATAGAAAAGTTCGCCTATACAAATAAATACTTATTACATTTTTCTTTTTCTAATGTCACCAGTTCCATTTCTTTTTTGGTAGCCAGTACGGACGTTTATAGCGGCCAGTTTTAAAATTAAAACGAGGCAAATAATACTTAGCGCGCGAATGTTATTAAATAAAGAAAATTGAACGACGTACTGTCTTCAAGTGCTAGTTTAAAAAAAATATCCTCAAGGAGGCTTACTATTTACTTATTTTCAAAGAAATTATCATATATAAAACTATCACTAATAAACAACATGAGGAAAGTCCACACCTACGTATGCCAATGTGAAACACTGTCTTAACAGATGTTTGCCCTTGAATTAACCTAGGGCTCATTTTACCACAGAATCAAAACGTGTGCAAAAATATGGTTAACCGACACCAAACAATGCTAAGGCAAGTTTTATCGACTAAGGAATAGGTGCGAAAAATGATTCGCTTAACTGCAGCCTTTTCAGTCGTTTACATGAAGGAATTTACGAGAAATAATTTCATCAGGATAACTTTCATGTTCACACTCTGTTGAATCCACCACTGAAGTTACTGATTGTGATTTTGAATGATGAATCGGTGGCGCCATTGCTTGCTAAGCTACTGGATTTGGCGTTAGGGGCAGTGGGTTCGATTCCCACACGGGACAAGTATTTATGTGACCCACAGGTAAATGTCCCAGATCTAGGTGTTTTACGAGGAGGGTTGACCTCAGTCAGGTGACCAGTCATAAAAATCATAGCCAAAACCGTTTACAGCATGACTCAGATGTTGTGCCGACCGCACCGAGGTGAGACAAGGGTAGAAGGATGATGATGATGATTTTGAATGATTGTCTCAACTGGCTTATTATCTTCATTTGGCACCTTCATACTTTAATTTGTTTCCAAACTTAAAAACGCCGCGTATGGCAAAACTTTTTATAGAATGAAGATATCGAAGCTGAGGTAAATAACATTTTGAATTTTAAATAACATTGGCTTGCAATGAAGAGTTGGAAAGTAATTAGAAGTATTGTGTAGAGCTAGATGGAGATTATATCATATATCATATTATATTAAAAGTAGAAATATTTTTGTACATATTTTTATTTCTCTGTTTAAAAATTTGTAAATTCAGTAATCAC